CCTTCCCCGGTCGAGCTGACCCATTCGTGCTACAACTATACTACTAATATAACTGCAGCATAGCTCTACCACGTAAAAAATTGATGATGTTAAATGATAATGATTTCTTAAATTTACGCGAACACTACACATTGAATAAAACTAAATTTACTGATTCTACCGCGTTTATTTAACTGATTTTACTTATTTTAATTCCTGATGTTAAATGATGTTATATTTGAGTAAAAACTGAATTGTTTTGACAAAATATAAATGAAAACTGTTATTATTATAATGCGCTAGATAAACATTAAATAAATCACTATAGGTACGCTAAAAAGAGTTTGACAACCTTATTTTGAATATCATTGAAAGTGAATTTTAAGCAGAATTTAACATTCATAATCATCATAATCAATATAATCATATTAATTTGGAAGACCAGTTTTTTTTTTTAAATATTAGTAATAAGCAGCTATATCCAGCATGCGTTGCAATTCTTGTGATCGAATTCTCTAGTATATATACAGTAATCTATGGATCGAATGATGGTGTATAGGAGACCGACTTCAATCTGTACATATAATAAATCTGTGGAAAGGAAAATAATGTCTGTAATTCTAACATTTTCTGGAAAAAACAAGTCAACGGGACTAAACAAAGGATACTGAAGCCATATTAGTGGTTTTTAGATATTTTGGCTGTCTGTCATGAAATTTTGCGTGTAGGTAGTTAGGGATCTGGGTCTACTTATAAGCTACTTTATATCCGATTACTGAACTTCAAAAAAGGAGGGTAAAGTATTATCCTTCCTTTAGATCTTAATTTTTACGATATACGTATTTATACGATTAATGTGTTTTATTAAAATAAATAAAATATTATATATAATTATATAAAATATTATATATAATATAAATAAAGCCCAAAATTAGTTTTAACCGTCGTGTAATAAATTGAACTACGTCGACAATCTACGATATTACTGTTGTATTCACTTTTTCCAAACAGTGCCATCTAACGAAAAAACAAAAACAAAAAGTAATGACATTTGGCCTCCACGTGCAAGTTAAATAATATAACATTTGTATAGTTATTTAATTAAATTCATTATTTATTTGAAAATTGTAATATACATTTTTTACTTTTTGTTTTCATTTTAGTAGATATTAATAAATTTTTATAGAAACAAATTACTTCTTAAATAGATAATAGTGACATCTATCGAAAATCATAAACCGCAGCTCTTTATAACTGTGCGCTGTTATCAAGAAGGTGTTACTCATCTCCTGTTTCAGTTTCCCTTTGTCGCCTCTTAAGAAACCCACGGGACGAAATTGGGTCGTGGTTTTTTTTTCACTGCCTCTACATGGCTAATATATTATTTCTACTCCCGTTCATCAAAAAATGTCTTTTTGTCCGTGTTTTTAGGCAATTAAAAACTGCTACAATATCGTTAGAATAAGAAGGTAAATTTTGACAGTTTATTAATGATTACAAATAGATTATATATTATATAATACCATGGTTCCAGCCCAGACCGACCGACTGACTTTTTTTAATTTTTTTTTTCAAGTTACTTTCTTTATTGAGAAAATCTACTTTTTCGAACCCTTTTTTAGTATTTTTAACGAAAAATTAAATTAAACTAATTGAACTCATGATTTTTTATTCAAATAACCAGTTCAGTTTTTTCTATTATGTCGCTAAGATCAAAAAATATTATTCGTATTTCATCAGTATGTAATTTGTATCTAAATATAATTTCCAAAACACACGAATTAAAAAAAAACCGAGCGAAAAATACTGAGCAAAGCTCGGTCAACCGGGTACTTTATATATATATATATATATATATATATATATATATTTTATTCAACTTTAATAATGAATATTATGTAAATAACGCATTTCCGATTCCAGGACAATTTTTCAATTTTCAAAGATACATCGAAAGACGTGCCCTGCCCGATACAAAAATATATTGCTTGAAGTTTGATATTTGATGCGATTCTGATAAACTAACTTATGTGTTTCGGTAGCCTATAATATTGCCAATATAGACACAGATACCAACCTGTCTCTGCAAGTGATCCAGTTTTGCTAATTTTAGTACAAAATAGTATTATCGATGTTTCTAAGTTCAAGCCCACGCGAGCGAAGCCGCGGGTAAAAAGCTAGTATAAATATATTTTTTTATAGGATAGGGTAACAAACGAGCATACAATCCACCTGGTGGTAAGTGGTTGCTGTGGCTCATGGACAATCAATTACGAATCAAAAAGCAAATGCGTTGTCGCCCGTGAGTACTAAGATGGAATGCCTCCTTTCCGGTAAAAAAAGGTCTCCGGTTCTCTACACTCAACATACAAAAAACAGCAGCGTTAAGCAACTATTTTACGCTGGTATTCTGTGAGAGCGTGGTCCTTCCCCGTTCGAGCCGACTCATTCGTTCCACAATTATACTACTAATAAAGCTGCAGTGTGGCTCTAACACGTAAAAAAAAAAAAACAAAATATAAAATGAGAACATCATCAATGTATTCAAAGTCAATTAAATAGTCATTATTAAGGATAACTCAAAACTACTGGTCAGGTCTTGATGAAATTTATATGGGATCATACGAGAAGCACCAGCTTTCAAATAAAAAAAATCATCAAAATCGGTTCAAGCAGAGAAAGTACTAAGGTAACACACGTAAAAAAAACATACAGTCGAATTGAATACCTCCTCCCTTTTGAATTTTGGAAGTCGGTTCACAAACGAGCAAATATTAAATTTTTAGGAGAAAATATCGTAGATTTGCGCCTTTGAGTATTTGCGCCCAACAACGTGTGCGTGACGTAATCAACAGGTGTCACCCACCTGGTGTTAAGGTTGTGAAGGTGATATTTATTCATTGAGAGCAGAACCGATCAGAATTTTAACGGTTAACATTACAATAGTATATTTTATAACCAATTAAAAATATTGGAGTATATCCATCAGTAACAAGCATGTTCTATGAAAATCTAAAAAAAAGTAGATATCAAAATTTAGCTCCATCGGAGCATATCACACTCCATTAGACCAGCCCCGACAGGCAGTACCCGTTCACAAGTATGACATATTATTATGTAACAGTCATCCATTACAACCTATCCAAAGTACAGTACTGAACATAGGTCACGCCATAGATTGTCTTATGGGGGGATATTTACTGTACTCTACGCCGATAGTGCCCAAGTTTTGCACTCTCTATTTCTTCAGTCTCATAATCTACAAGCACAGTTGCACTCTCTATTTCCTCACTCTGGTCCGATGGGACGGTAATCCAACATGAACGGGAAGAGATCAGGCACATGGACCAACGACTTTAGGTGCCTTCTGAGGCATAGCGTGAAACACCGCCAACTTCCTGACTCCGGGCTGCTACTGAGAATTTGACATAAAAACACCACGACTGATTTTTTGGCCCGTCCCGGGATTCAAACCTGAGATTTCATTATCAGCAGTAGTGTTTACGACCACTATACCAACTAGGCAGTCAATAAAGAGGATATTTTCCAAAATTACCACGCTTCGCAGACGGGTTCATTTTAATTGTTATTAGGAAGACAATGTCCATCTTCTTGTTACCCTCAGTCGCTTCTTACTAACCCATTGGACAATATATTCACACACTATATACACTGCCACTACACGGTGAAACAGCCATCGCCCTCCTACTATAATACTAAGATCGTAGACTGCTTTGTTGGTATAGTGGTTGTAGTAGTGTGGCTACTGATCATGAGGTCCTAGGCTCGAATCCTGGGTCCGAAAATGAACGGGTGAAACCAATGTACTAATTTCGATAGAGTATTATTTACATTGTCAAAATTAATTGACTGACGTTTGAGTCTGAAAATTAAAGAGGTATTATCAGCAAATAATTGTGATTATCCGTATAAATTATCGTGATTGTCCCCTATAAGGTAAGTTATTAATATAGACTAAGAACAGGAATGGGCCAAGGATCGAGCCCTGAGGAACGCCCATTGATATCACTGATCCGGAGGAACCTTTACCATTGATAACGACTTTTTGAGTTCTGTTATTTAAATATGAAATAATAAGTCTAAGCACAATATTGACACCGTAATGTTGTAGTTTCCTGATTAATATCTCACACAATCAGAAGTCTTAGAAAGATCACAAAAATACCCAAGGCATTTAGTAAACTCTCCCAGGGATTAAAAATATATTTCATAAGCATGACACATGCGTCAGTCGTCAAGCGACCTCTTGTGAAACCAAATTGATTTTTATGGAGTAATTTATTTTTATTAAAAAAATTAACAAAATAAATAATAGTTCTAAAATTAGCGGGGTTCAATTTACTACCAGATTTAAGCAAAGGTATTACTTTAGTATGTTTCATAAAATTAGGAAACACACAAGATTTGATATTATTATAACCACAATTCATATACGTGCTTTAAACTACATTGAAAAATATTCATCTCAGATTTTATCTTGGTGTTTGAAGACATTGATGCAAAGAAATGAACAAATTCTGTAGATTCAACTCTATGCATAAAAATAAATTGCTGTTCAATATTCTTGCTAAAACTCAAAAATGACTCGACCGATTTTGATGATTTTTTTTGTGTATACTTATTTGAACGGGTTCTTAAATGGATTAGATTATTGATTATGATTCAGGTATTAGATTCACATTTGTACCCGGTAGGTAGCGCTGTTGTCGAGATCCAGAAATCACACGTGCGAAGCCGGGGTGGATAGCTAGTTTTAAATAAAGAATATGATTTAAATTTAAGGTTAAAACAACTTTTGCGATTAAAAGAAACTTATGTAAAATACTATTAATTAATAAACAAACATACAAAATAAACACATGTAATTACACAGATATAAAATATAATAGATTATACAAAACGTCTCAATATCCCGTGACTATACAAAATATAGCTGTTAAAGTATCGCATGAAATTAATTCTATGCTTATTTTTTTAAACTATTAACTAACTTCAGTCACTTATTTATTTTGTGTATTGTTTGAAGTATTTGCAACCTTTTTACCAAAATTTTCTCCTTCCTCGATTGTAGTCATTAACTCAACACCTTTTGTTTCAGGTAAAAGAAATGTTATTATAGCTCCTAATAATGGTACTACAGCAAAGGCAAATGGTGGCAGCCATAACGCTACATCCGTCAATTCAATAACAAAGGGCGCTATCATAGATCCAACTCGCGCCATCATAGATGAAAAACCAAGAGCAGCATTTCGGACTACAGTCGGGAATAATTCCGTACAGTACAAATATACAACAACAAAAACAATAAAACTTGTTACCACGCCTATACTTGCGAACACGACCGAACTTATGCCTTCGGGAACAAAACAAAGTATGAGTAAACACAAAGCACAAATAAAATTAGATAATATCACGATTGTCCTCCTTCCTAAGATTTTCATTAATGGTATTGATGCCAAAGTACCAAGAAGGGTCACACTTGCGCTCGCCGCTACGTTAATAAATACATTTCCACTGAGTTGACCAACGTATTGCGACACGCCGTAGAAACAATAACTGCAACTTAGCCAATTAAACGCCATGCACAAAATATTCTTGCGTAGATTTGGTGTTCGAAATAAATCTAATATGTTTCCTTTTTTAGTTTGATTTTGTTGCAATGTTTGTTGGTATGTTTCAACTTCTTTGCGAATATCAACTGATGGTTGTTTATTTCTAAAAAGAATATAAAAATATTTTTAATAACTTACCATAACGTACAACATGATATACGTACAAATAAGATAATGTTAATATTATGTTCCCTTGATAAAGTATGTATGTCTTTATTTATAATACTGTGATAAAGCGTAGCTTTGTACTTGACAAACTTACAAGTTGTTTATTTGATAAAATATTATCAATTTACTAATTATATACAATAATCAACAGAATGATACTCCAGGCATACAGTTATCTGTTGCCCTTTTAAACAGTTATTTAATGATATTCCCAAGTTTTGCCTATGTCATCACTATGCACAATAACATTATTGTTTTCATTATATGAATTACTTTTTAAATTTATCTACTTTGTTATGGAACTGTCGTAGAGAGTAGGTGAAGAAAATGAGGTATTGTTGTTTGTCATGTTATTAACACACACTGTCCCTAAAGACACTGGCATTGAGCGCTGATATTCTTGATATTCATTTTGATATTTTAATATTTTATTTTGATATTTTTATGTATCTGTCATAATCATCATTACAGTCCTTCACAAGTCGATAGACCTCTCGGTCGAAGTTGGACTTACCTAGTCGGACTATTTGTCCTAGGTAAACGTACTCGTCAACAACTTCGAGCTTAGCGCTCCCAATAACCACCGGCACGATGTGACACGGACATTACACATGATCTTTGTTTTGTCCACGTTCATCTTAAGACCTATCCGTTGGCAGACACTATTGAGGTCATTCAGCATAGTGCTTACATTCTCCAGCGATTCTGCCATAAGGACTATATCGTCGGCAATTTTTATAGTATCTAATAAAATATCACTTTCATTGCTAAAATGTGATTAGGAATGTGATATGTTATAATACTGCCTCCTCACTTTAACTTACACAATACATGCATAAGCTCACGCCTGGCACCTAGAGGTTTAGGCAGAGACTATGGACTTCCCTTGGCACGATCCTGGCACACCTCTCTTGCTTCTTTCACATCAATACATCAAGGTACGCATATGCTCATCGGTTAAGATTACTCTTAACTTAGCCAATAAACTTCCGTCTAGGACGTCCCTTGCCGACTATGGCACTCACTTCTGCAGCATACATTTGCTTTGTCACTGTTTTCATATGTTAACAAGCAATATACCTTTTTTTTTATAAAACCTACCAGCCGACTCAAACAAAGAAATCTAGCTGTCAGCCCTTCTGACTGCCTTCCTTCTTTCTGATTTCAGACGGACTCCTGAAACTGAAAGGAGTTCTACCATACTGCAAATAAAACTTAATATCTTTTAAAACTTATTGAGGCTACTTACTCTTTGGCTACTTTTTCTAAAATAACTATGGCTTTATCAGTTTCATTAACAGCTATTAACCATCTTGGAGATTCCGGTAAAAGTATAAATAAACTTAGTAAAATAATTGTCGGTATTGAAATTCCCAACTGAAAATCTGAAAAGTCTCTCAAAAAATATCCATAAACGGGCAGTAACATGTGTCCCAAATTAAATGGCACTTGATAAAGGGCGGAAATGACATCACGATATTTAGTTTCAACAAATTCCATGATTATGACAAATCCAATCACCATTGTACCACCAACTGAAATTCCAACTAGAAATCGGACGAAAGTGAACCCCCAATAATCCGGTATGTATGCTGCAGATATACCCATCGTTACTTGAATAACGATGGCAGCTAGTAACGGTTTCTTTCTTCCAAACCTTAAAATTCAAAGAAACGTTATTTTATTCAACGACAAAAACCAAAAATTATCGAAAATAAAACTTTTAAAAATATATTATACCTATCTGAAGCCATTCCAAATAATACACTACCTATCAATGTACCTAATTGAAACAATGTTTGTGTAAAACTAGTCAACCATTTTTTATCGCAAATTAAATCCCATTCCATGATTATAGTCCTTTTAAAAATCGAAGTATCATAAACAGGATTAGAACAAGGACATTTCTCAATGGTCGCGTTCCCGCACGTGTATTGAACTTTCGGAGCCAGGAATATTATTGCCATTTGATGAAAGGCCACAGGAAATTTTGTCAAAAATATAAGAAAGCAAAGACGTAATTGAAATCTGCCAAATGATCCAATCATCTTTTGGAGTGGATCTTGATTTTTAATTTCCGTTTCTCCGATTCCTGAAAGGAAAAAAGTAATATTATAAATATTTGTATGTAAATTTGTCGAAAAACGTAATTTACGCAAATATAAATGAATACGAATATTAAATATTTTACAATTTTTAAAATTTATTCCTTAATTAATGGTTAAATAATTAAAAGTTGAAGGAAAACACCGGAAGAACAGGTGATATTGGACGTTGAATATCTCAGTCCCTTCCCCGTAAGACCAGATAAATTAACAATATTAGTACTAATAGTACACACAATAATACAATATTAATAATATTTAAAAAAATACGTAAAAGTTAGCTTCGTTTAATACAATAAAGATGATGTTTATATTTATATTTATTTTTATATTTTTTTTTCTTACTTTTAAAAAATATTAGTAATCCTATTAATTAACATTACTAATATTCCCTTTAACCCCTCCTGGTAAGCTGAAAATGCTTGTGTTAGTGGTTCACAACAGTAGTCGAATGGTGGATTCGAACCCACGACCTTCTGAGTTTGCGGTCCGCGCCCTGCCATTAGGCTACTGTCGCTTAAACTGTTGCTTTATAATTATAAGTGATAACAGTTAACAACAGACTTAATTATTTCAGAATGCGAAATGTTTTTTACTGTAAATCTAATGTTTTCATATATAACTGGCGTCATATTTATGGCAGAATTAAAATTATAGGAAGAGAATTCGTGTGTATTTTCTTTTTTTATGTAAGTAAGTTACTCGCCATCTTCGTCAATTGTGAACCCATTTTATTTATTTTTTAGTTAAATAGGTTACACTTTAGGGGAACATAGGCCTCCCTAAAGAAATGCCACAAAGCACGGCTTCGAGCCACCTGCATCCATTGGCTTCCTGCATGTCTAACTAGATCTTCACTCCATCTAGTGGGGTGACGCTCTACACTTTGCCTGCCACTCGAGGACCTTCCTTCCCCATCGCTTGTTGGTACCATATAAATTTGGAGAAATAATTCTACCCCTGAGGGAGGAAAATAGGGGATGAAGTTTTTAATATAACTATTTAGCAATATTAAAAACTTTATAACCTATTTTTCGATTTTTTTTCAACGTAAGTCTAATTTTTATGTAAAAATTCGAATAAATGTATAACATTATGTAAGTTAAATATCTTTCAAAGATAAAATCTTAAAGCCCAACAGTGGGTGTCAGGAGCACTACGTGTGAATTTGTTGACGAGTATGTTTACCTAAGACAAATTGCCCAACTTAGTAAGGCCAACTTCATATGAGAGTCAAGATCCAACAGATTTTGGCTCGAAGACTACGATACATCTTCTTATCACGTATGCCTCAATGCTTTGAGGCATACGTGATAATAAGATGCATGCAAGAAGCATGAAAACAAGAGTATACAAACAGTTCATTGTCAGTGTGACATATGGATGTGAGACATGGTCCTTCACTGCTGGTAACCGAAACAGCATCAAAGAATCAACAACCGATGGGGAAGAAAAATTCTCCAGTGGCAGACTCGTAAGCGGTAGGCTTAGTTTACCGTGCTCTGCAGTATTCTTTGGGGGTTAGGCCTACGCTCACCAGTAGACTTCAAATTATATGCATAGTTCAGCAAAGCAAAAGCTCAGCTATTCAAGTTCAAGTTATATAATGTAATTAATATATTAATTAGGGTGTCAACTACCCAAGCCGACGTACTTTGATAAAAATATGGAAATTGATTTTTAAGTATAAGTACAGAATAAATACACTTATTGTCATGAGAGACTTGCTCGCCTCTAAGCAAATAATTATGTATGTCCCCCAGACCGAATTTCGATCACAAGGCCCAGTCTCAATAGACTTTACTTTATTACTTTATTTGAACTCAAATAAAAACTAGCTCTTTGCGCAGGACAGAATTATGGTGCACGGTCGTAAAAGCAAGGTGCACTCTCTATTTATTCTCATGGTCCCATGGGAACGGCAATCCGACACGACCGGAGAGAGATCAGGCGCAAGAATAGCTTTATGTGCTTTCCGAGGCACGAGAGCGAAACACCGGTTCATCGGAACCAATTTCCTGACTCCTGCCTGCAATTGAGAATTTCTAGACAGAAAAACCCAATAACGGATTTTGACCCCCTCTCGATTCGAACTTGAATCAGCATAAGCAGTCTCACTCACGACCACTATACCAACGAAGCAGTCGCGGTGAGCAAATATATTTTGCCTGTGTTATATATTTCCATTGCCGCTTAGTAGCTTAATGTTCAACGACATCGGTTGCGAATTTAAAATATTATAGGTTCAAATCCATCAACAACTACTATCGTCAACCACCTTTATTACCAATCCCAAATTGTTACCATTTTGCCTTGTTACAAGCATGGTTATAGTAATTTTCCAAAAATATAAACAAAAAATTTAGAAGAAATAAAAATCAATAAGCTCAATTAATAATTTCTTACTAGCTGATTTCAACAGCGGCAACTAAGATAACATTGTAAGACGCTAAGAAGCTGTTGTGTAGTTAATAACTTCTTACAGTTTTGATAGTGTTACGAGCTTAGGGTTCGTGACAATAAATACTGCCGATTGAATTACCAAAATTGAAACTTTAATTACCGAACACCAATTAAAACTTAAAACACACTAATAATTAATCGCACTGATCACTTTAGTTCACTTTATTTCACTCCGAAGCTTCGCTTGTATCACCAACTCAATACTACTCCGGTTGCGACCTTAAACGCCTTTATATAGGCCTTTTCCACCGAAACATCTAGATTATTCCAGCAAATACCGGTCCCGACCGACTAGGTGTAGAAAGTTCGAGTGTGAAGTTTTCTAGAAAGCTTAGTTCCTCTGTTAGCTAATAGATGGCGCTAGTGCCATCAACTGTGGCGCACAAAAATAGTAAGTTTTACTGCGCATCAAACGGATGCGAAACCACAAAAGAAACACTTGTTCAAAACCTACCTGCCTAGAGTAACGCTCATACGATAAAATTGTATGTCAATTTTAAAAAGAGAGAGCCTCTTAGTATACATTCTTCCGGAGTATGTGCAGAAATAACATGATTTAATTTCCGATTTCTAAAGCATCTCCACCTCTTTGTTATTAACATTGTAGGCTTTTTTATAAAATAAGGGTTACGTAAACGATACGGTTACGATAAACGAGCACACAGTCCACCTGATGGTATGCGGGTGCTGTGCTTATAGAAATCTACATTTAACCTCGATTAGGAAGCAAAATGCAGATACGTTGTCACCCCTGAGGATTGATATGGAACGCCTCGATTCCAGTAAAACGGGCCTCGGTTCTCTATACTCACCATACGAAATACAGCAGCATTAAGCTTCTATAAATTACATTGGCTGGTATATATTGGTATATATTTTACAATGCATGATTCAAATGAGTAGTATAATTCCCCAGCATCTGTCTTTTCCAACCACACTATTTTCTACGCAGGAGTAAATAGTATTTCGTTGCGCTAAAACTGGGGGATTTACCATCAAAGGCTTTATCAACACTTACTACAGGTTACTTTTGAACTCAGGGCTCTATTTGCATGCTACTAAGTCACGAGTAATATATTTTTTTAATTATTGTTTGTCTGCCTGGCCGATCTAATCTTCAAAATGGCTGATCCGATTGTGATGTAACTTCACGGACATGAGAGAATTATGCCCGAAGTGATCAAGGCCATATTTCATCCGATATTTTTTTCGTGATATCGAAAACTTGGATAAGATAAAATAGTCATAATGTCTATCTTAAATCTAGGGTATGTTCCGAAATACAACGCAGTGTACTGTCCAATGCAAATGACGTCATGAATCGACGCTATACTGGTGATTCGTTCCAAAACATTGGACAGTATATGACGTCATACTTTTGCGCCATTTGGAAAAGTGTTGGCGATTATTTTGTCATTTTGTGCTCCAAAAATCATTATATCCTCCTAATGGATATACCATCAATTATTCTATAATTTTTTGTATTTGAATAAATAGAAACAAATTCTGGCATGCTTCATTCGGCAAACACACAATTAAAAATTGTTTTATTATGGCCGGATATCCGACACAATATGGCGGCGGCACGCTAGTACAATAAAGTGTCAAATGATACGTCATTTGCATTGGACAGTACACTGCGTTGTATTTCGGAACATACCCCTAAAAAATGACATAAGTGACATTAATGGATAACACTAGGACGAAGCCAGGGCAAATTACTAGTCAACAACAAAGATTATTTTCTGACTGTAGGTACTTAGTTATTTATATTATATACTCGTACTTGTGGATTGGTTGAATATATGTACATCACTTTCAACACACGTCACATTTATGGCAGTTTATATATAGTAAATTGACAATTTCCTGCGTTCATAATAGGACTTAAATGCGACAATGGAGAATGCACTTTAAAGGATACAAAATACAATTCTAAATAGCATGATTTTCGCCATCATCATTACAGTCCATCACATGTCAACTGATAAACATAAGCCTATCCCAAGGAATGTCACAAAACCTGAGCGACCTACATCCATTGTATCCTAATTAACAAAGTATTAAACAATTTGAAGTTATAATCTTAAAATGACAAACTAATTAACATAGCAACATGATACTGCAGTCTTTGGACATCTGTAAGTCCCCCAACAAGCTTTCGGCTGATCTGAACTGCCTTCTGGCGGCTCAGACCGAGCCTACTTAACACATCTCATAATCTGCCTTAGTTATGCACTCTTCTAAGCGGCTATTCGCCCCTTGCGCCTTCCTTTCTGCCAAGGAGGGTCGCGTACGTTTACAGCATAAAGATCTCTCATCAGATCGGTAAGCCAATCACAAAAGGTGGAGTTTAGTGGGTAAAATGGGGGGGTGTTTCGTACCGGTGTTGCCCTTAATTGCTTCGGGCGCAAAAAAAAAAGTCCACCGTGATCATGGGTGCTGCAAAGCGCCCGAAACGTCGGGAATTAAAAATAAGTAAATCAAACACGATAAAATCCGTATAAATAATTTTATTCAATAC